ACAATCACCAATTAACCTCAGCATGTTTTGGGAGGAAGCTGGAGAACCCGGAGAGAACCCACGCTGCACGGGGAGAACATGGAGACTCCACGCAGAAAGTCCTCACCGGGACGTGAACCGGCGACGGTGCTAACCACCGAGCCACCTTGCAGCCCCAGATTTTTTTTAAAAAAGGCTGAAGGTGTAAAGATGTGACTCTGGTTATGTTCAGATGTTGATCAAACTTGACAATCAATAAGATGTCTGACAGCATATTGTGATGTGAGGAACTTTCTTCACTCAGTCCAGGATAAAACTCTCTGGCACCAGAAGACAATCAACACAAATATAAATGTTTACAGCTGCTACATGTAGTTGTGGTTTCCTTCATGTGTAAACCTTCAACTCACCACTTCTGTGGAGGTCTCTGTGTGCTCTGCAGCCACATGCTCCTGCAGGGAGATCTCCGTGTAGCCCATCCTGCCACAGTAGGGACATGTGAAGGCCTGGGGCTGCTCCACCGAGAAGGCTTCTCCACCATAGTACAGGTCTGCAGGGGAACAGGGACGAGCGTTACAATCTGTGTCGACGTGTTTTCGGTGTGAATCCACATCAGGCGGCGAGCTCAAAGTTTTACAATAATAAAAAGTTAAAGCTTGACAGGGATTATTGGACCACATGAAACCACACATGCAGTCAAGGTAAAGCCCGTTTGGACCATGGACTTCAAGTCATTACATTTTTGGCCTTCCCACATTACAGGAAGCATAATTAAACCTGCTCACATAAAACCACCTGTAAGTAGGCCATCTGCGGTCAGAGCAAACCTGTGGCTCTCAACAGCTTCACTTAAAACTTCGAGTGTTTTGGCAACTGGGCAGTTAGTAAAACACAAAAAATGTTTGAGCAAACATATCAGTATGAATTCTGGACTCTTGTTTGTGTCCACGTGATGATTTAAAGTTTTATTTTCCATCATCATCTGTGCAGAACATCTGATTCTTTAGCTGAGGACAGTGTTAAGATCAAACCAAGAGTGTAACGACTACAGCGATGTGTAAAAATGCCCCATAGAGCTGCTGAGTGCATCTGTGGAGTCTTGTAATAGCTCTCTGGGGTTTAGTTGACACAAGTGAGTCCTCTTTGCAGCACACAGTCACTGTAATATAAAAAAAAAAAACCCTCATTTGAGCAGCTTTACAGGAAACTGTTTGTACGGCAAGAACACACCTGAAACAAACACAACAGTCTGTTTTAAAGGAGTTCTGTTGTGACAGCTCGTTTTTTTCCCATCAAAACACAAAAACTAACAGCATCCTACCATTAAAGTGTTTGCTGGAGACCCATCGGGGACAATACCGGCACAAACACCACAACCACAAGAACGAGGACCAGTTCTGCGCTCGCACCTTCTGCCGCGTTTTCAGCAACAGTTGCTGTTCGTATTCCTCCAACAGATTGCAGAAGAGCTTTTCCAAAGGACTCCAGCATATTTCACAGCACCAGTAGATGGAATAATAGCAGAAGCACGCGTCCAAAAGGCGAGCCCGCTTAAACATCTATTATAAAGCCGAATTAACTTCTTGAGCAAATATACAGTAAGTACAGTTTAATCCCCGCCGCTGCCGCTACGAAATGTTCCAGTTATGCAGAGATAAATCAAACCCAGAAGCCCGATAACACACTCCCAAAAAAAACTCCTCAGGCTGGGTCAAATCCATCACTGCTCAGCCATTTGGGAGTGGCCTTCCCATCTGAAAACAAAAGCCAGCGCCAGCAAAAGATAATGCGCACTGTTTCACTTGTGCAAGCTTATTAAAGCCACCGAGGGGAGGTTTGCAAACACTGCCAGTCCTGGAGCTTTATCCTACGAGAATCCAAGAAATTTCAGCTCTGGAAACGTGACTTATAAAAAAAAAATACCACTGTACATGTTTGAATACCTGCATAGTTTGTTTACGTGGCTGGTCGAACACACACAGACCTCCTCTTTAGCTGCACATGAAGCTGAACTTTTTTTTTTGGTGGTTCATTGTTGTTAATATCTGACTGAGAAGTGCGCTGATATTTAGATGATAAACCACGATAAGAAGCAGTTTATAGTCACTGTGTGTGTGGTTTGGGGGTTAATAATAAGAACTGAACTGTGAAGATGCAGAAATGTTCAACATCTGCATCCTCTTACCTGAGATTAAGCACCACCAAACATGACTAATAACAGCAGCAAACGGCAGCTTTCAAGGCTCAAATTTCCACATTTCCAACCGTCCGATCATCAACACTACTTACCAAAGTCGACTCTGGTTAATATACACTGCATGGGATGCTCTGTGGTGTGTCTGGTCGTGGTGGCGCCGCTCTCGTAGCACGACGCGCACAGATCGTAGTCGTAGCAAATTAAACATTTGTACCGTCGACCTCTGAAGTTGCCCTTTAAACACGCATCGCAGCTCACGCCTGAGGGTGACAGAGACACGACAGGAGGGAGAAGAAAAGAAGAGGTTAGAGAAACACGCATGTCAGTCGACACATCTCCCGTCAGGTATTTCACTACTTCAAAGTTTAAGGATCTCTTTTTTTTTTGCCCCGTTACTGGCAACAACAGATTGTGTTTTCTCTGATCTTACCGAGCGTTACGTCTTACGCTCTGACAGGGATCTGCCCCGTATGCAAGAATATAAGCTTCATATTTGTCTTAATATGGAAAACCTACGCTTATAAATGCACATATTCAAGAAACTGCATGCTTGCAAATACAAACACAACATGAAGCATAATAAATATTTGGCTGGAGAGTAAATAAATCATGACATTTCTCTGCATTTCCCATTTTGAATTTGAATATCCACATCACTAGTTAATTAAAAGACAGAACAGCAACACCTGAAAAGCATAAAACAACCCAATAAGATCAATTGCATTAAATACAACATCCCTATGAAGTTATGCTGAGTTTGGATTGAGGCTGTGACAGAAGTTGTTTGATGGTTTGATTGAATATCTGTTTTTGTCAGAGTGGACCTGGTGAGACGGATTAGCTGACGGCCACTGAGTGCCCGACTTTGTCCAAAGAAGTCATTTAAATTGTCTGCACAATCCACAGCCTCAAAACAAACATGGAGTAGAAAAGAAGCATCCCAGATAAAACTGAACAATTTAAAGTAGCTTCTAGTGTTACTGTGCAAACCTCTGAAGTGATCCTTTAACTGAGGACTAATAAAAGTACACTCACAACACCCAGCTCATTGATAAACTCCCCCCATGACACGTTGCTCCTTCCAGCAGGAGGTTAAACCTGATGTGTCACTTGGGGTAAAGGGGACCCTCTGTGTTCAAGCCCAGGCCAGACTTGATTGACTTGGACAGTCGTGCAGCCCCCGATGTATTGCATGACACCAGACTGTCTAAACTCTCTTATATCTCCATTCATAGCTCGGAAGCTGTAAAAGCTCAGTGCAAACACGACCCCGCTGTGCTCGCCTGCTGCAGAAACGTTAACAGCAGGAACAACAAGCGCTCCGTGTCGCGGCTCACGGAGACACAACTTGACAGCAAAGTTGACAACAACAACACATGCATGGAAAATAAGGGCCGCCCGGGCCTGACTAACCTTCGCAGGTGGCTAACCATTTAACGAATAAACCAGCTACCGTTAGCAAAACTGCTAGCTGACAAGCTAGTCGGCTGTGTTAGACTTGACCTAACTCAACTTTTAACCGGCTGCTGGGTCGAAACGCGTGTTAACAACATTAACGGGCGTCCGCTCGGCACCGACACCGAACTCCAAGCCCAACAAGGTTGGCCACAAGGACGAGGTGAATGTTAGTTTGCTAAATGTTAGCTTACGAAACTGAAATCTACAGGCCAACTTTGACCAGGAAGGCAGCTAGAACCGGCTAATGTTAACGACAGACAAGTTTGGACCCCGCACCGCCATCTGGGACTCACTCCCCTCTTATGTTTCCTATTCTCGGCACTCCCCTTGCTGCCCAGCTCGTCAACGGTAACCTACATAGCCCATTACCACATAGCTGCCAGGCTAGCTAGCACACTGAGCTAACGCTGCCTTAGCTTCTTCCGCTGATATGTCAGCGTTGTTTAGGTCAACTGACGCGCAGTGTTGCACATTTTCAGAAACACGAACACGACCCAGAAGCCCCGTTGGGTCGGGTCCACTTTCTGCGGCCGCCATAATGCGTCCCCACGAAAAGCCCACTGCAGCCCTGCCGCTAACACTAGCCAGCGTTAGCTAGGATGAGCTGCAAAATAAGACATTCTCGGCTAGCCAGCGCTAGCTAGCGGTGCACTGTCAACGTTTTCAGCACAAACTGCGGCTCTCTCGCGGCTCCGTGTCTGGCCGCGATCTCACCTTCATGACGGGACATCCTACGAACACTAAGGCAGCCCCCTGCTCGGGCTCCCTGGCTTGCAGTACAGAATAATATGGGTGAAGAGAAGAGAAGCCGGGGCTGGCTGGCTGTCCCTGGCCTCTTCCCTCATGAAGGATCCGGTCTGGCTCGCTGCCCCCCCTCCGCCTCCTGCTGTGTCACTGTCCGCTGCGCTGCCGCTCCGTCCACACGGTGGCGCTCTTCTTCTACTTTTAACACGAAGGTTGCTGTAGTGACCCACCGAGGGAATCTGACGTTTATTAAAAATGTACTGATTTTTTATATATTGGCATAAAATGAAAATAAAGTGCTGAATAAACTCAATAAACGAACTGAACTAAAATAAAACAACATTCAACAAATAAAAGATTTAAAAAGAAAAAAAACAACAACAATGAAAAATAATAATAAAATGTATAATACACATAAATAATAAAAATAAGACATACAACTTAAAGACAAACACATAATATTCCAGCTGTGATGCACAAAAAGTGTAAAATAGTGAAAACCAATCATCTCATAAAATACAACAACTTTCCAAACTTAAAATACATTTTCTCTGAATCGTGTATTTATTAATTTTTTGTTTAACAAAAGATTTTAAATGTGTAAAAACAAATAAATTACACACAATATATACATAATGATACAGATATATAAATGCTTAGACATAAAAACAGTATTTTGAATAATTACTGTTGCTTCTAACTACTTTGCACTGATGAAAACATATTTTTTGTCATAAGAACTGCTGCAATTATGCGATATCTCTCATTTAACAAATCTACGTAAAATTACAGAACTTCTTTTTCTGTAGACTATCACTAACAGTGTCTAATGTTTTAAATGCATTTATTGTGTTAAACTTGAAACTGGAAATATTTGCAAAACTGAATGAGTGTGTTTCATGTCTTTTTATGTCAAAAAATGTTGATTTTCTTTTTCTTTTTTTTTTTTTTTAAGTTGGACTGTTATCCACAGTACCAGCATTTTAATCTCATTTAATATTTGACATGTAAATTCAGTCTTTTTTTGTAATTTTATTGATATTGTAGTTTGATATTGATATTTAGCAACATGAAAATGAAAAAAAAAACATCTAAAATAAAAAGGAAAAATCCTCTAATATTACATTTAAAAACAAATTAATACATTTTACAGTGCAGTTATCACAAGAGGCATCATTGAAAACTTTAATTTACTCGAATTGAAACATAGTTTAGCAAAAACTATAAATTTTTAAAGCTGGTTCTTATCACATAATGGAAAGCTGCTTATTTGCAGGGAGCATGAGTCACTTCATACTTCTACGTAGATTTTAGAAGTTTTTCCATTTTTTCAGTAAAGTTTTTCTATTAACATGATGGATTGCAATGGAGACAAGTTTAGCTTTTAGTTTTAGGCACATATATATAAATAGGTTACATGTGCAAACAGCCATAAAAGGTCATTTTTTTAAAATAAACTGTATTTTGCATTGAGCACATATGAAGACAGAGACATCTACAAACCATGTGTGAGCTCTACTGAGAGAAACTCTTCTTGTAGCTAAGTGTGAAGTCCAGTGTTCTGCAGACGCTGCAAAATGTATTCTGACTTGTGAGGTTTTTGACAACAGCTTCAGGACTGAGTGAAAGTCACACCAGATAAAGATGTTTAAATTACACTGTGTTCTCTCCCCGCAGGTCTACATGATTGTTTTAGTGTTGCACAGTGCCTCATTGTTGCTTCTGGCCGGGCAGACCTATTAGAGCAGAATCAGGACAGGTCAGCACAGTGCGGAATCAAACTGGCGCTCCGACTTGGCAGCTGGCTGAGGTATGTGGATGGAAAGAACAACAATAGCCCTGCATGGGAAGCTACTGTAACTTTGAAGCAAACGCTGCCAGTGTCTGACATCTGACAGATTCTGGGAAGTCCTTGAGTCTTTTTTTGTGTTAGTTTTCAAGGAACTATAGACTTTTTCTCTAACTCTCACATACAAAATGATGCAGTCAGAAGTCTATCAAGCATCTGCACTTTAGAAAACCTTCAGATATGAGAACTGTTTTTGGATTTGTCTGATTGAACCCAGTCTCGTTTTAATTATTTTTTTACAAAACCTCTATACAGCTCTGTATTTAAGCAATGCCCCCTGAAATGCTGAGTCAAGTTCACTCATTTGCCAATAAGTTCAACAACATGCAAGTCGAGTGGAAAGTGTCCAAATTGGCAACGATGTCAGACAGACGTAATGAACAAATCCACGACTTTTCCCCTCTTTATTTTATCATAAGCATGAAGAAGCTCCGGATCATGAGACCCCTGTGAAGAAAAACGGGTCTAATTGGCGTCAGCTGTTCAGGCCTCTGCATCTTTCACAAGCTGTGCCAGCGAGCAGTGAAGCTAAAGTGCAAATCATGTTGTTACAAGCCAGACTGCAATAAATTACGTTGCACCGCGTGCTTTAGTGCTGACATTACATTTGCATAATTTCCTAAAAGATCTCCAGCCTTTCTCAAAGTGCAAATGCACAACACATCCTGGATGGAGCAACAGCGACCTCCGTCACTGACACACACTGATGTCCAGGCAGCGAGCAGGGCGAAGTGAACTTTAGGGCTTGCATCATCTCAACATTTGAACTCTAGTTCCCTCCTGAGATGCAGTTTCATGCACCTTCTTCTATGTTCGCCAGCTACTGGCTATTAATAGGTGGCTGCTAAATATAGGAAAGTTATTTTGGATGGTCCTGCGTCTCAGACGTTCACTCTCCTCCCTTAAAAAAAGACATTTTTAGTATTAATGTTGGCTTTAAAAAAAAAAATTACAAAAACAACTATTTCTGGTCAAGTCAGTTCAAATCACAGTGACGTTATATGACAGAGGTCAGGATGTGTTTACATTACAAAGAGAATTATTAACATTGCTGGTACAAACCCGCTTTAGTACATGGATGAGTCATTTTGACGTTATCAGGGAAATTGTTGTAGTTCTGTGTGTTCCCACAGTGACACATTCACGAGGGGCGTGACGCTGTGGTCGCAAGATGTTGTCTGCCTTGGGAGGGGTTCTTTGCCATCATTTTCTGGGGTGTCACTTCCTGCAGTTAGAGATCAGAAAATTATTCAAATAAGTAAAATACTCGTGATATGTGGCACATTTATCAACAAAAACTGATTCATTTTTAAGAAGCCGGCACAGCAAAGTGGAGATAAGATGAATATATGCTGAACACACAGCCTTTCAACCTGAGGACTGCCTCCCACAAGCAGAGCATGATAAAGAGACTGTGAGCAACAATCAGAGGGACTTAGTGGAATGTAAAGCTGGCAGAGCAGTAAAGCCCAGTGACTGAGAGCACCTTGTAAACTGCAGCGTGGCCCTGTTTGCAGAGATGCGTAAAGAAGCCTGTGTGGATGCCAGGTACCAGGGGCTGCTGGGGTGGCAGCAGGTGACACTTCCTACTGCTTGGAGCTGATGTATGTACACAAAAACAGTGGCGTTATTGTGGCGGAGAGCCTTGCGTGAGTGCGCCCATTCTTCGCCTCATCAATTGAATCTGGTCGGTGAGCTAAGCTGATGGTTTGGCGGCGCGCCAGGCAGAGGGGGGGGATGATGCTTTCAGGGGGGAGGGTCCCTCGCCAACACTCCCTCCCCACACACACACACACACACACACAGCAACAGAGCCTTTTAAATATTCCTAGGAGCGACATTGTGGTTTCCTATGATAGGAAACTGTTTTCTTTGCTGTCTTTTACTGTGAAGGGTAAAAACCAAACCGTAAACACGCCCTCTGTTCCGTGCGTAATTTGGTGCCACGGGTGGTTTATTGACTGGTGTATTTTTACACATTGTTGGGCAACAAAGCTGTGACTTGGGCCTATATGACCTTCATATCAACACTGAGTTCTTACCTTCATGGCGGCTTGCGTCACACCCCATAAGGGTTAAAACACGCGCAACGTGAGCAGCCTACTACGACTTCATTGAAGCTTTGCCACGCCTTCAACGTAAACAAATGGGGGCTTGACCAATCAGATCCGCGATAGATCAGCCGATGATCAGATGACTGAAAAGGGGAAACTATTTAAAACTCTAATGACACACTTGATGCAACTTTATACATTTCTGGAGCCGCACTTCCACACAGGCGCGCAACTACAAAAAACGCACCGCCGGCTCCGTTGCTCTTTGTCACCGCTGGATTAAAAAAAAAAAAAAAAAAAGCCTCCCTCCCGCACCGCTCTCAGCAGCAGCAGAGCAGCAGCAGCAATACAAAAAGACATTTTTATATATTCCCGGGACGCTTTTAATTTCTCCACACTCGCCTGTGACTGAGAAATGAATCATAAAGATCTTTTACTGTGGATTTTCCTGCAGTGCGCTTGTTTCTCTTCCGCTGTTGGGGAAAACGCTGTTCTTAAAGGTAAGAAATGGCTTTGTGTCTATTGTTCATTCATTTTTCTCCTCATTTCTTCCTCAGCGTGAAAGGGAAGTGTGACAATCCAACATCTTATCCAGAGCAAACAGCGCGCTGAGGGACAAACTAAATCATGAAAGGGGGAAAAAAATGGAACAAGCAGCGTAAATCTCTAGTTTATCCATATTTCCGCTTGATTAATGTGCTTTTTTTGGGACTGTTGGGCTTAATTACGAATACGAACAAGTGTGGCGGGCAGAGTGAACCAGAAAAACCGGGGATGGATTCAAAAGACTGCGACGTGTCCTTTTTGGGAGAGCAGCGGGAGTCTTGAAGCAAAGCTCCAAGTGGAAGACGCACAACGCCACGTCTGTGTGAACTATTTGGAAAGATGTTCTGCTGAATCCGCGTTTTACCAGCAGCCCTTTTTTTACTACCCGGCTCAGCTGAAGTCATTTTAGTCTGTGTGGCCCATTACCAAAGGGTGTTGAGTTCACGCTGTAGCCCACAGATTTGCGCTTTATAAATAAAACCGGCTTGATTTCATGAATTCAAATGTGACGCTTCTCCACCCCGAGATCGACCCGGACTGGTTACATTTCATTCATCAGGAACACAGCGAGCGCAAATAAACGCCCTAAATTTGAACTAATTAAAAAAATAAAGCCTTTATTATCAATATTTCCATAAATATGCTTTTTTTTCTTCCCAACGCGTAAACTGTCAGCATCATCTTGCTGCTTCCAAAAAAGGCTTCTTGCATCCGTCAAAATGCTGTAATTATATCGTTTTAGCCTCAGTGCGTTAAAATCTGATATAATTACGAGCTCTGGCTGCAGCTGTGGTAAAGAGAGGATGAAATAAAAGACGGGTGGTGGTGGCATGTTGGCTCTGCGCCTGCGTCTTGAGTCCAACTCGCACCCAACCGGCATTATTGTAACAGATGTTGGCTGCAAAAAAGCAGGTTGACTCGGTTTCAAAACTGAATCACATGTGGGAGATCAGTGTTTTGTTTTATGCACAAACGAGAAGAGGATCAGTTTTATTGAATATATTGTGTCATTTCCCCCCCTCAGGTCAAGATAGTGGATTGGATGAGTTCTCAACAGACACAAAGGCTCTCAATGGCATGATCAAGTACAACATGAGGAAGAGCTTAGACTTGGACCAGGAGGGCTGTTACCTGCACGCTGGCAAGAAGGAGTGTCTAGAGGAGTGTGGCTTCAACGCTACAGCCAAGACAATCTTCATCATCCACGGCTGGACGGTACACAAGCACTGTTTTTGTCTGATTGTCCTGAATCTAGTTGTATATCTGGGTGACGGCTGATTAAATGCAGCCTCACCTCTGTAGAGTGAAGGTAGCTGAAGTGTTGCTGGAATTTCTCATGTGAATGTTGGACTGTGTGCAGAGAGTCAGACAGAGGTCACCGAGTTAAAGCCTGCATGAATGAATGAGTGAATAAACGGCTCCTGTTTTGGGTTTCTTCTCTCAGATAAGCGGGATGTTTGAAAACTGGATGTACAAGCTGGTCTCTGCAGTGATGCAGCGGGAAAGCCAGGCCAACGTGGTGGTGGTCGACTGGATACCCATGGCTCAGCAGCTGTACCCCGACGCGGTCAACCACACCCACACCGTCGGCCTGGACATCGCCGACATGCTCAACTGGCTTCAGGTGTGTACAAGGACATTTATGCTTCCTCTCATGAATCCTGTTTGAGTGTGTTGATGAAACCGGGGCGACTGCACCAGCGGTTTCTATTTGGCATCTTATTTAAAAGAGGGGGAAGAGAAAACTCATCTGCTACCAGTTAATTGTCACGCTCCGCTGCACACCGGACTATCCCCATGCCTGAATCGCTCACCCCTGACATAGTGCTGTCTTACAAAGGCCAGGTGTCTGGGGTATGTAGGGCAGCGATATAAATGGGCTCATTTCGAACTGATTTATGGTGCAGTATGTGATCTGAGCACTTTGAGCAAGTGGATTTACTAATGGGTGATAAAACTTGCCCCCTTCTGTCTTTTGTTAGAGCGGTTTAAGAGGTCCCAGCTTTTGTGAGCGTAACATACATGTTTAGCTGCGTGAGAAGTGAAATGTGATGCTAAATATCCCTTTTTTTTTTCTTGTCATAATGTTGTTTATTTTTGGAGCTTCAAATCCGCCCCCGAGGCTGTAGCTCAGTTTCTTTCTGGTCCGTCATCTTTGCAGCTTAGCATACTTGATATTTTGCTTTTAATTACCTCTTAGATCAGTGTTCATCAGAATCTAATAAGGATCGGTCTGTTTAGCACATCTGAGGCGAAGACAACAATCCCCATTCAGCAGGACTGTCACAAAGTTGGACCAGAGCACAAATAGCAAGTTAGAGAGGATTCAGGCATCCTGCCACGTAGTTGTAAACGTAGACAAAGACTATTTCACGGAGACAAACCGAGACAGATGGTGGAGGCGCTGTTGCATGGAAGGGACTGTCGGGAGATTCTGTTCGGGTTAACCGGGCTTGGCTCAACTCATCATCGCTGGCTGTAATCCAGGATTTGTCCAGTGTGTGTGTGTGATCTTGTGGGTTAGTATTCAGTGGCAGCTGCTGATATAAGTGTTGCATCTTCTCTTCTCAAACAGGATGAGCAGCAGCTGCCTCTGCAGAACGTGCACCTGATTGGCTACAGCTTAGGCGCTCACGTAGCCGGCTACGCAGGGACGTACGTACGAGGGACCATCGGCAGGATCACTGGTAAGTCAGGTGCAATGCAAACCGGCAAAAAAGAACTCAAAGTCGGTGCTGCCTCCTTTGCCTGACCTGTCCTACCTTTACTACCAATAGGTCTGGACCCAGCAGGACCTATGTTTGAGGGTGCAGAGGAGCAGTGGCGCCTCTCCCCGGATGACGCCGACTTCGTGGATGTCCTGCACACGTACACTCGAGAGGCTTTGGGCGTGAGCATCGGAATCCAGCAGCCAGTTGGGGACATTGATATCTACCCCAATGGAGGCGACGTGCAGCCCGGCTGTGCTCTTGGCGACGTGCTGGCAGTGGCAGGAGGTTAGTTCTTCTGAAAATGGTTGCATTTGTAGGCTCCAGAACTACCATTTAAATGGTTAAAAATGTTCTATTCCCACCTGACCTTCAGCTGTATCAATCATGCCTCAGGGCTGTTGGTAAACTGTGGCTCATTTAACCCACTGTCCTCAATTTTCTCTAGATTTCATGGCGGTAATGAAGTGTGAACATGAGCGAGCTGTGCATTTGTTCGTGGACTCCCTGATGAACAAAGACCACATGAGCTACGCCTACCAGTGCACCGGCCCGGATCGCTTCAAAAAGGGAATCTGCCTCAGCTGCCGCAAGAACCGCTGCAACCACATCGGCTACAACACCAGGAAGATGAGGAAGAGGCGCAACAGCAAAATGTACCTCAAGACACGTGCGGACACTCCCTTCGGAGGTGAGATAGCGTACTGATACCGCTCTGTTTTAACTGTTACTGCCATGATCTGTACTTCCTAGAGTAAAAGTGATAAGCAGCAGTTTCTTATCTGCAACCTTCTACATCAAACCCGTTTTATGACGCCAGTGTAAACTACTACTGTACACACCTCAACGGACAAAACATTAACTCCTGTGTGTTTTTCCTTTAAGGTTACCACTACCAGATGAAAATGCATGTGTTCAACAGAAAACAGGCCGACAACGCTGATCCCACCTTCCACGTCAAGCTGTACGGCGCCCACAACGACACAGAAAACATATTTGTTGACGTGTAAGTTCACACTCTAAATCCTCCTTGCAAAACCAGTCTTTTCTTGTGTTGCCTAAACATGAGAATGCATTAAATCACTTTAGCAGCTTAGCTGCAGTCCTCCTGAATGCACAGTCTTGTAGCTGCGCTGCCTGCATGTCGCACTGAGAAGCACACAGACTGCTGTGATATAAATTTGGAATTTGAACTTGAGTCATGCTTGTACTGACCTTTCCAAAGTGTCAGTCAGTGACTTGTGACGTTCAAGCTGAGAGTGAAGGAGGAGCTCCAGTATCTTTCCGTTAAAGTTTTTAAAAGCAATGCATTAGCGGTCAAACACATATCAAGCTATTTGTTTTAAAAAATGCTCGACTTGAACACACAGCTGCTAACTTTCATGCTCAGTTTTCTGGGCACCCGGCTTACCTCAGTTTCTCTTCTCTTTGCACAGCTACGACAACACAATCGGTCTGAACCTGACAAACACCTTCCTGGTGTTTACTGAGGAGGACATCGGGGACCTACTGAAGATCCAACTGAGCTGGGAAGGAGACTCTGACTCCTGGGGCTCCGTCTGGAAGAACATCAAGAAGTCTTTGTGGAGCTGGAACACCACGGGCTCCAGACCCGTGCTGCAAGTTCGGCGGATTCGTGTGAAAGCCGGAGAAACGCAGAAAAAGTAAGCTGAGAGGGGCAAAGCTGCCGTGGTGCAGGATTAGGCTTCATCGCTCTTGTGAAACATTGACTAAGGTTGATCTGTGTGTGTTACAGGTTTACTTTCTGTGCCCAAGACCCTTCAAAAACCGACATCTCACCAGGGGAGTCGCTAACATTCGTCAAGTGTCGTGATGGCTGGGAAGTGAAACCAAGAAAACGGTACGAAACGCAATAAAACGATGCATTAAATGGTACTTGATGCAGCTGTGAATTAAGAAAGAGCCGTAGTGCGGTGTGAGTGACTCTTCTGTGTTTCTGGTCAACAGGCTGCCAATGTAACAGCTCGGCACTTCCAACAACCAATGCACCGTCACCATGGGGGACCCAACATGGATCAGAGAGAAGCACCGCCTTCTCTACATTTGAGCACTTTTTGTAGGAGGATTGATGAGCGCACGGTGGAAAGGGGCTTTCCGTTCCCGTTGGTTTCTGGAACTGAGGAGTACGGGGTCTGTCCTGCATGCGACACAGCTGCAAAACGGGGTGCGGGCTGAAAGCAGCGGCGGCGGCGGCGGCGGTGGCGGCGGACCCTGAGATGTGCTGAGATGGCGTCAGGAGTCACAGAACGTTCCTTTGTGTGGACTAGTGAAGTAGAAAACAGATCTGTGCCAGAGGACGCACACCAGCAATTGTAGTCGCTGTACTGTACATTTTAAAATATATTTTTTATTTATGGAAAAAAAGAAAATGGAAGCACTGCAAGACCAACGTTATTTATCAGAACACATCCCATAATGAAGCATATGTTGAATGAATTTCTTCCAAACGCAGTATTTTGTGTGTATGTTGGTGTGTGTGTGTGTGTGTGTTGTGACCGAGGAGTGTGCCTTTCTGCTGAGAGAGATTACTGATACACTGAAGGAGATCCCTGTTCTCACTGCATACAATCATTCTGAGGTTCTGTGCATCGTGTTACTGTATGTGGCTTATTTTCGGGGTGTGTCTGTACATAATGTAAATAAGTTTTTGGAAAAAAAATAAATTCACTTGTTATTTGTAGAAACCGTTTCCTTTGGTCTGTCCTTTAAACCATCGCAGGAACTCTGTGGCTCTCTGAGATGCAACCGTGACTTCCTGTTTTGCACAGCTGGCAACACGCGAGCTTTGATTTGCAGCACGAGATGATTTTTAATTTCTGTTTATTTTGATGTTTCACTAATCTAAACCAACTCCGAATTTGCAAAATGAGCACGAGGAAGCTCTGTGGGACTCAAATTATCTTCAATTTGCGAGTCAACTTTATAATTTGCATGTGGGCACACACTCACAAATGACTTTGGTGAAACTGACGCCTGCACGTGAAGCAACTTATTGTTTGATGTAACTCCTGTAGGGATGAGGGTTCATATCGGAAGGCATAAAATATGTAAAAGTTGCTCAACACGTTTGCACAGTTGCAGAAGAAACTGTGCAGCTCCACACAGCCCTGGGGGATATTTGTGTTTATTTTTGTTGTGCTAAATCCTGTGGCGACCTATACGTTATACTTACTTTGCATCTTAAGGATTTGTCACAATCTTATTTACACTCACCCCTCTAAAGTGGAGGGTTTAAGGATAAATACGCAAAACTCGAACACTTTTCAGCTTATCTAAGTTAAAAAAACTGTCGCAATTTAAACTGAATTTTTTCCGCCTGCTGATTTGTTGTCGCACGTGTTGATACTCGGAGTCACATTGTTCGTTAGTAATCCTGTCTTTCAACACAAACTAAAGCCTCTCCGCATTATTCTCGTTGGATTGAGAGTAGTAGGAATTCATTTATGGCAAAAAGCATTCCTGAGCTATAATGACACATCTGTATTTGTTGGAGCACGAAACAACATCCCTTTCTTCTCCCCCTCCCACCCGCTCGTTTTGTTCTGAACCATGTTGGAGAAATCCGATCACACGTACAGAAATATTTCGTGTCACATCATCCTCTGCCCTGTCATGTTCCACCGAAATGCCTGGAAGGTTAGTAAGAGCAGGAATGTCTCTCGGTATGTTCCACGTAACATCAGGTGATGATCTGTTGTGGCTGCTGCCTGCTGATCTCCATCAACTTCTAGCCCTCCTGTGTGTTTTCTGGTTGTAATTACCTTCAGTGTTGCTCTCGTACAAATCTGTTGACCTATTTTCCCAAGGCAGACAACACTCTGCACACAAACCCAACAAGTCTGTGTGCGACTGGGATCGTGGAGCTGCTGCGCCCCGACGCTCACCAACATACCACCCAGCGTTGCTCTGGTGACTCACTCCATAGTGATGGAGTATCCTAATGCCTTTAATGCCGTATGCCTGCTGCATACAAGAAACCACAGCCTCTTTAGTCACTGTCTGGACGCTCGGCAGAGCTTGCTTTCATTAACTGGAAACTTTTGAGTATCGGGCTTTAGCCAGATGTAAATAGCACCGACAGAATGCGAAGCTGGTTGCAGCAGAGAGAGAGAGTTTCAGAAGCCTTCGATGGTAAAAGTAGTTTAACAGCTCGTCGCAGAACTTCAGCCACGTCTCCAAAAGGTCAGCAGGATTTGGGTTTAGTAACTCAACTTCAGGTTTAATCCTAGATTTCAGGATTAGGTTCAAGATAACAGATCTGTGCTTATAAAAACACCACCTACTAACCGATCGGTTCTCTTTCTGTGGATCCTGAGCAGCTCAGATGGTTTTTGTTCTAAAAGCATTCTGAGAAAGTTCAGCAAAGTTCTACTAATGTCTGCTATACTTTTTTTCTTATTTCCCAGAATGTTCTCTTTAATGGTTGGATAACATTCTGAACGTCAGCTCAGCAGCATCCACAAAACACTGCAGGCAAAATGTTCCACCTTTGTTCATACATCACAGGAACGTTTTTAATTAATGATCCATGGACAAATGTCATTGGAAGACTCCAGAACATCTTGTTGGATTAGGAATGTTCTTGCTTTGTTATCATAGAACTGAATCTGTGGCGCTGACAACTTTCTCCAAACGTTCTCTGAATGTTTCACTTTTTGTCTAAGTTGACTTTTAATCTCAGGAACATAAATGGTGGATCGGTGGTTAGCATCGTCGCCTCATAGCTAGAAGGTCGTCGGTTTGCGTCCCGGTGAGGACACCCGGGATCTTTCTGCGTGGAGTCTCCATGTTCTCCCCGTGCAGAGTGGGTTCTCTCCAGGTTCTCCGGCTTCCTCCCATAGTCCAGAAACATGCTGAGGTTAATTGGTGATAGTAGACTGGTTACCTGTCCAGGTGAACCTGCCTTCACCCTGAGTCAGCTGGGATAGACTCCAGCCCCCCATGACCCTGGTGAGGATTAAGGTGGAGAGATGATGGATGGATAGTTCTTAGTGGAGGTAACGCTCTTCATTGTTGACTGCAAGAAATTTTAATTCCATTTCACTGTTCCAAAGATCTTCGTATAGAAGCCTAATCCTAAATCAGAGACTGATTAAAGTATTAAAGCGTTGTACTTGTTGACCTTGTAAGATATGCAGTAAGCCAACTTATTGGTTTGACATTTATATTTGTTCTTTTCTTGATCCCAAGGCTGTTGGACGCCACCAAGGGTGCAGCAGAAAGAATGAATATGTCTTATTAGCCGTGAAAACAGGCTACATCTGAGCAACACGTTCATTTAAGGTAACACACAGTTCTACGTGCGGATCTAGTCGTGCCTTAGTTATGGGGCTGTGATATTTATAAGCCTATTAACTTACACATTCACACAGTTGGCAGCCTTTTGCCGGCTTTCCCACCTGACTTTGGCTGCAGTAAGGACGTAGCTTTTAGCCTGTATAACGTCTAACATTCATGGATTAAAACTGTAGTTGGTGACTCAAGACCTGCCTGTGTTCAGTCATCTGGTGCCAACACCTCTCTGTTTATGTGCACCACTAGATTCAGAAACCCTGGGTTGACCAACCAAGTTGATAACAAGCTTCATGTGACCGTACTGGTCTGAATGCAGTTGTTAGGCAGGTAACAAAAGCATTCTGACGCTGAACTTGTTTCGTCGTACAGGCTGTAGGTATCTCAGTTTAACCTCATGTGATTTTAATGTCCATCCATTTTCTTTCGATGTTCTTGGGTCGGGTCACGGCGGCAGCAGGTTCAGGAGCTCGTTCCAGACGTTCCTCTCTCCAGCCATGCTTTCCAGTTCCTCATGGTGGATCCCAAGGCGTTCCCAGGCCAGAGGAGATATGGCATCCCTCCAGTGGTTTTGGGCCTTACCCTGGAATCTCTTCCTAGTTGGATGTTCCCCAAAAACCTCCAAAGGAAGTTGCTCAGAAGGCATCCTAATCAGATACACAAAACAAGTTAACTGGCTCCTTTTGACCTGAACAAACAGCAACTCTACTCCAATCTCCCTGCAGAAGTCCCACCTTATCTTCAAGACTGAGCCCAGCCACGCTACAGAGGAAACACCTTTTGGTTGCTTATATCCATAATCTCCTCTCTTTGGTCACTGCCCAGAGCTCATGAGACCAGATTCACAAACCAAACCAAACTCCAGCTGCACCTTGAGATGATGCTAGATGGTTCAAATGGGAAAAATGTAAACAGGTGGTCACCTATGATGGGAGACTGTTGCACCTCCCTCTGTTTAAAGATGATGTTTGGTTGTAATGTACACCACCTTCTCTATCTGTGTCTGCCCATCCACTGGTTTGGACTTAATGTTCCCAGACAGCTGATATCGGTTTCCTGTGTTGATTCAATCTCTTGTTCGGGGCCCTTATCATTCCATTGACGTACTGTTCTGTTTGTTAGAGGTAATATTCAATATTTTGGTAAATATACTCAGTATTCAGCTTCTTGCCAAGAGTTACATAACGAGATTGTTGTCATTTGGTTTGCAGAAAGCGACCAACTTAGCTTAGCTTGAAGACTAGAGGGAAACATTCATTCTAGTCCTCCAACCAGCACCTCTACGGCTCAATAATTAACACACATCTACATGGATTTGCACAAAAAAACAAAGTCTAAGGCAAAAAATAATGCAGTTAATATGACATGCCCAACGTGTTATGAACAAAAGTCTGTTCCAAGAGAAGGGATTATTGAACTTTCTGGAAAACGCAGTGAGCACCGGTCTTTGTACATCAGTCCATGTTCCAGATTTTATGTGATCCTGTGTTCAAATCGACAATTTTCCAGATAAGCTGCTTCTTAGAACCGCAGTTTTGTCGCAGTATGACCAAAAACACAGCCCTGCTATTGCTCCCAGTTTGATTAACTGGTATTCTAGGACTGGACCAGCATCAGATGCCAATAAAATCTAATGTTTCTGCTGCTGAAAGAGGTTTGTTTACAATACATTTTCATTTCCACTCTATTCTGACTGCTCAAACTGGTTTTTATTAAGAGGATGAATAAACAGAGCGAACATTTCCTGTATGCCACAGCTATAAATCCCTTCAGCTGTTCAACCGTTGTACCAAACCAACACAGTTGTGAGAAAATTAAATAGGAATTATTTGCTTGTTTGACGTGTTTAGACAAGCAAACTTTCGATCCCCTTTGAAACTGCCTCCAGATAATAGTGGCATGTTCAAACACAACCACAGGGAAAATCAGCTCTTTCATCAATCAAACATTCGACAAAAACATCAATCGATGTCACATCACGTGTGGCTTCTTGCAGACTTTTTGCATGAATGTCGAATCGTCTCTTGCATTGATTTGGTGGAATTCTTTGACCACTGTTCTTGCAAAACTCCTTCAGTTGCAAGATGTTGGAGTGTTTTCTTGCCTGTTTCAATTCCCCACACCGCATTTCAGTGGAATTCACTGTTGGGCTTTGACTCGGTCATTCAATAACCTTTAATTTAGTGAATCTGTGACCGTGTTCACTACCTCTAGTTCAACTTCAACTATCAGGAGAATGGTCTCACACTATCTTCTTTGATGTGAGGATTCACTACTGATGACTGCAAGCTGCCCAGGTCCCGAGGCAGATCTCAAACCGAAGCATTTCCACCTCCACGCCTCACAGCTGGTCACTTTAAAAGCTGCCTTTTGTCTGCACCAAGCACGTCTA